CAATTGCCAAAAAATCAAGCCAAACAAACTCAAGTTCATAAGTTGCCACAAACTTCAAATACGACGCAAACTCAAGTTAAAAAACACACAAACTCAAGTTCAACAAACAAAACTAACTATTTAGAGTAATTTTGAGGTGTTTGAGAGGTTTTTTGTAGACTTACCCTAGTGGTCCTAATTTTTTGCTGATGTGAGGCGTTTCTTTTCCAGTAGTCTAAAATCTGTTGGAGGGGGGAAAAGGTTCCAGATGTCCAGCCGTGGCAGCAGCGGTGTGCCTGAAGTCCGGGGTCCTCCGCGGGAAGGTTTGCTGGGACTCGGTGCCGTCGGCGGGTCGAAGCTCAGTGGTTGGCGGCTTGGAGTGATGGAGGTGCGGCGTCTTCTTCGAGGCGGTAGTACGTCTTCTTGGTCCTGTGGTTAGTGCTTTGTCTCATTTACAGGAACAAGAATTGCTCTTTAGTGCACAGCACTTGAATGTGTTTTTGACAGGAGAAGACATCCCCAGAGTTGGGCTCGAGTCATGGTTTGTGCTGTTCCTCTCAGACATGGTTGTGTTCTCTTCTCGATGTTTGTATTCCAGAATGGATGTCTTGGTTGTATTTTAAACTTTCAAGTTGTTTTAAGTTAATTTTAATGTAGTTTATTGTTTTAAATTGAGTTTTGCTACATTAAATTTGTATGCACTCGCAAGGGATTGTGGGTATTTTAGTTCTGAGGGATGAGAGCCTAAGGAATCAATCTTCCTGTTACAGCAAAGGATTGTGGGTAAAACCGTGAGTGAGTGAGGTACTTCCTTTCTGGCATGAGAGCCTTGGGAATCAATCTCCCTGTTGTAGCAAAGGATTGTGGGTAAAACCGTGAGTGAGGGAGGTACATTTTTCCTGGCATGAGAACCTCAGGAGTCAGTCCTTCCTAAGAAAAAAGAGGGGAGGGGGTTAGAAAAACAAAAGCACAGGAACCCTAAAATAAAATAAAATAAAATAAAATAATATAAAACAATGAAAAAATAAAAAAATAAAAGAAGAACAAAAGTGGATTGCAAAAGGGAAAGGGGGAGAAAAAAGGAAAAAAAGAAGTGTCAAGAGCAAATAGCAAAAATCAGAAGTGAGCTTAGAAACAGAGAACAGTTCCCTAAAAGAAAGACAGAAATGTAAATTTGATCAATGTCCTAAGGGAAAATCTGTGTGTGTGTGTGTGTGTGTGTTCTTTTTTGCTAACTTAGTCTGGTGTCACTGATGGTCAGTTATTGATAAGTATTTATTATTTAAATTTTTGATGAAGTTGTTTGTAGTGGGGTTAGCTGGCTAATTTTAGAGTGTTAAAAAAGATGTTAGAAGGGGAGGATTTAGGGGGCACGGCGGTTCCCCTTCAGGTCTCTCTTAATCCTCCATATAGGTGACCCAACAGGGGTTACCCCCCGGCCGGGGTAGGCCTAGGCTGAAGATCACCTATTTGTCCTCTGTGAAGGTGAAAATAAAGGGGCAGGGGAGGGAATAAGAAAGGGGGGGTGTTAGAGAGAGGGGGAGAGATGAGGGAGAGAGATGAGGGAGAGAGAGAGAGAGAGAGAGAGAGAGGGGTGTGTGTGTGTGTGTGTGTGTGAGAGAGAGAGAGAGAGAAGGGAAGAGGGAGAGGGGGGTTTAAGGGAGAGGTGGAGATGGTGGAAAATAAAGATTGGTGAGGGGGATTTGGTGGCGGATGAAACATCCCATAGCTCTCCAGCTCTCACCATCCATGTGAGGAGAGTGAGCAAGGGACATAGTCCCCCGACCCGACTAGGTCTAGGCTCTGCTCTCCTCACGGTCCTCACAAGATACAAAGAGATATGTAAACGTGGAAGTGAGAGTTCTCTAGGCAGAGTTTTGGGTTTGGTTTAAGCTGAGTTGGTCAGTTGATGATTGATTACTATTTTAAGTTCTAAAAGTGGATAGAGTCAAAAAGTCACAGAGGATTGTGGTGGGAGCAGGTGGTCCGTCTGGCACCATTCTGCTCATGCAGGGATTCGAGTGATAGAAAGAGAATAGATCTTGCCACCGTGACTCGCCATTGAGACTCTCCTCACCTTCTGGTTTTCATCCTCTGATAGGAGAGAGAGGTACAGATCAGGAGAGAGGGAGAAAAGGAGGGAGGCAGGGTGGGGTCAGGAGTTAATTTGTCTTGAAAAGTATTTATCTTTTCGTCATTGCTGTTAGGGTTTCGATGTTTTTTGTTTAGTTATCTGAGGAATGTAGTGTTAGTATAGGTTCCAAGGTGGAGGATTCTTTGGAATTCACTCTCACCCTTGAAACTGGAAGATCTTAGATTCTATAAAGGGGGTGGGGGAGGGGGGGGTTAGAGGTTGTGTGCACAGAAGGAGCATGAGCTTAGACTATTCTCGGAATGATATTGTGACAAGTCTGTCCGAAGGCAAGTGGCTGGTTAGGTGTGGGTAAGAGATACAGTGATAGCCCCCGCTTTCGTCAGTTGACTTGGCAGTTTGGGGTAGGCTGATCAAGGGCTTGCACTGGCCGGCGCATGTCAACCTGTCACATGTTCCAGTCGAGTCTACGAGCTCAATCTGTGTGTAAAAATTATGTGTTGGTCGAAAGATTAATGACTCAGCTCAGTTGGTATGCTATGCTGTCTATCTTTTAGACTAGGGCTGTGTCTCATTTCAGAGACCGCATCGTGATAAGCGCACTTAACGGCGCTTAGCTGAGTGCACTGCCGTTTTGAGCCGTTTTGCGCCGTTCTGTGCCCTTCCTGTGTCCCATTTCAGGTACAGCAGCCATCGAACGGCGCATCTGACGCGTACGTGAGGTCACCACGCGGCACGAACGGTGTCCCGTTTGGCACAAAATACTAAGCGGGCTTCAAATTCGGTCTCAAAACCACACTACCCCCGCCTCTTTTTCAAGCGTGCATTTATGCACGCTTTCGTGCCGTCGGTATCCCAGAATTCTTTGCGTGCCGCTGCACAGCTGTGCATTTCAGGTGAGAGGCTGGACTCGCTTGGAGACACAGCGCGTCCGCGAAGAAAATACAAGCAATCCAAAAACAGCAGACAGTCAGCTCAGGCTGTATGAGAGCATGATCTCTGAACTCACTAAAATCTGTAAACCAAACATTATAGATTTAGAGACGAACTGATCCGCTGTGTTACAACTATCAAAAACATTAGAAATGAGAAAGCTGAACTCTAAACTACAGCAGAGTATCAGGACAACATTGAGGTTTTTTTTTCTTTTAAGATTTAGAGATTAAAGTTGTAAATTTAGGAGAATAAACTCATAAAGTATATAAAGTCATAAAGCTGCTTTTGTGGAGGGGGAAATGACTAAAGCTGGTCATCTGCAGGGTTATCTGTGGATGTATCAGCGGGTCATTCAGAGAGATTTTGTGGTTTGTGAAGAAACAATCAAACTGATGATGATCAACATTTGTGATCCAGAGGGAGTCGAGCTCCGACGAGCACCACGTCTCTGACACCGGCGGTAGCCTACACCTGCAGAGACACCAACACCTTATTACTGCATATGGATTCATATCATAAACTAAAGCTCAATGTCATTCACAGATATTTACGGCTGCATTGACAGATATATCCTCAGCATATTCATTTCTGCCTCCACAAAAGCAGCGATTTCCTTCAAGTACACCAGTTTTTTTCCCCGTGGAAAAGACGTATTTCTCATATATTCTTTTTAAAGTCTTTATACTTATGACAATGTTATGCTGATGTGCCAGAGGATGAAGAATCTCCTTGTTTGTGAAACCTATACTGAAGCACAGTTCCTTCAAATGCTTCATGGTCCTAATTTTAACAAGTCTCATCTGAAATAACAGGAAACTTTAATACTTTATTCTCATAAATTAATGACTTGATTCTCGTAAATTCACGACTTAAATCTCGAAGTCCTTAAAGTCTTCAATCTCAATATGGCCCTCATACTCCTTCATACAAAACAATCATTGGATGAATTGTGCTTGTATGTATCTACTATTTTGTGTCTGTGCAAGGTCGCACAATTAAAACAATAAATGCTGCGCTCCGCGGGTTTCCTTTAAGTCAGTCGTGACGCGAGCCTGAGGGCGGGGACATTTGGCAACTCCACCAGGAAGTCCTCCGAAGGTCTCCAAATGTCCCCGCCCTCAGGCTTGCGTCACGACTGATTAGAAAAAAAGCTGCGGAGCGCAGCATGTATTGTTTTAATTGTGTGACCTTGCACAGACACAAAATAGTAGATACATACAAGCACAGATCATTCCCACAAAATTCATCCAATGGAATTCTCATAAATTCACGACTTAAATCTCGAAGTCTTAAAAAAACATTCTCAATATGGCCCTCATAGTCCTTCATACAAAACAATCATTGGATGAATTTTGTGGGAATGATCTGTGCTTGTATGTATCTACTATTTTGTGTCTGTGCAAGGTCGCACAATTAAAAAATAAATGCTGCGCTCCGCGGCTCTTTCAAGTCAGTCGTGACGCAAGCCTGACAGACCATCTCACCCCTCTGATTGGGTCGCCAAATGTCCCCGCCCGCAGGCCCGGGTCACGGCTGACTTGAATAAAAGCCGCCGATCGCAGCAGGTGCAGGTGTAAACAAGCACAGGTGACAAAAATGGAGATCGCATTGTGGCAAATGGCTTTTGCCTTAAATGAGGATTTGGCGCTGCGCCGCCGAGCAAGGCGGCGACGGAGGCGCCTTATGTACTTTTTATTGAGAAGGCGTGCCGAAAGTGGAGAGGTAAACCTGTTATTTTATCTGACATTCATCAGCCACACGATAGTTGTGCCATTGTCACTCCCTGTGTATCACGTGAATTCCCCCTTTAATTCACAACAGTACATGTCATGGAAATCTTCATAGGTGTCAAAAAATTGTATTTCGTTTACTAACATCAGCTGAAAAGCCAACATTGGCTGTTAGTACATGAGACATTAACCTGCACAATTCACAGTCATTGCAAGCGACATCCATGCCATGACCGTTCTTTCTCCTGCTTTGTTCCTAACGCATGCAGACCGGACCCCTGAACTGCAGGCTAAATACGGGGGTTCCGGTCCTCCAACGGTTTTTCGCCGGCGACGACACCAGGGAGGACTTCAGGCTGAGCCGAGAGTCCCTGGCAGTGCTGCTGGACCTCCTCCATCAGGACCGGAGGCATGGATGGGGCGCCACAATAGAGACTTTGGTTCTCCTCTTTTGGCTGGCCAGTGGGACATCATACCGGGTGGTCTCAAGGGTGTTTGGGATGCCCCGCTCCACTGTCCACCGCATCGTCCACCGAGTTACGGAGGAGGTAGTGGCCATTCGCCACAGGGTCATCTACCTCCCGAGGTCCGCTGACGACCTGGCGGCCGTAACTCGGGGGTTTGCAGGGCTGGCTAGGCCCCGCGCTTTTCGCAAAGCTGCCGGTGCAATCGACGGCTGCCATGTCAGAATTAAGCCACCAAGCGGTCCTGATGGTCACTGCTACATCAACAGAAAACTGTTTGCATCAGTAATCATGCAAGCAGTCTGTGACCATCAGGGCCGCTTTATTGACACCTACGTGGGCTGGCCGGGGTCTGTGCATGACGCAAGGGTACTCCGGCACAGCCCACTGTACAGGCAGAACATCTACCCTCCTCCAGGGCATTTCATTCTGGCAGACAGCGGGTACCCGTGCCTCCAGCACCCACTCCCCCTCATCACTCCCTACAGGCTGCAGGTACGAGGTGTGGCGGCCCAGCGCTTTAACGGGCATCATGCCAGGGCACGCTCTATAATTGAGCGTGCCTTTGGCATGATGAAGACCCGATTTCGAGCCATCTTTTTAAAAGCGCTGGAGATCCGCCACACCTTCGTGCCACAGGTACGTCATCCCTGCACACAATATTTTTGTTATACTTGAATATATATAAATTAATGAATTAAATAAAAAGACCACGAAAACTTATTATATATTATTATACTTATATTGTTATATTTTTTTATTTATTAAAGGTCTACATACTTTATGTTCATATAAATATTCCTCTAAAATTCAGGTCATCACCGCTTGTGCTGTCCTGCACAATATCTGCCTGGGTGCCGGTGACACCATGGCACCAGAGGAAGATGTGCAGGACGGCATGCCAGAGGATGAGGTGGAGGACAGGCTGGAGGCAGTCAGTGGTGCCCGCTGGCGGGACAGATTGTCCGCAGAAGTGTCGGCCCTGGAGGAGGTAGACCACGACCACGTCTACCTGTAATCGGCAAGTACAATTCATCTAAAGTTTCTCCTCTGTGTGCCACAGAATGTTTGTTGGTTACTGATCAGCTTTTTAGACCTCAGAAGAAGTGACTTAAGCTGTTGTTTTAGTGTTCTTTTGATGAGTTTGGCTTGTTGTTATTAAAAGTGTTTGTTTTGGCGAGTTTGAACGTTTTTGAGCATGTGTAATGGTATGAATGCGTTAAGCTGTTGTTTTAGTGTTCTTTTGATGAGTTTGGCTTGTTGTTATGAAAAGTGTTTGTTTTGGCGAGTTTGAACGTTTTTGAGCATGTGTAATGGCATGAATGCATTAAGCTGTTGTTTTAGTGTTCTTTTGATGAGTTTGGCTTTTTGTTATGAACATTGTTCGTTTTGGCCAGTTTGAAGGTTTTTTAGCATGTGTAATGGCATGAATGCGTTAAGCTGTTGTTTTAGTGTTCTTATGATGAGTTTGGCTTGTCGTTATTAACATTGTTCGTTTTGGCCAGTTTGAAGGTTTTTGAGCATGTGTAATGGCATGAATGTGTTGAATTAGTAATCCCTTGTGTTAAACTGTTGTTTTAGTGTTCTTTTGATGAGTTTGGCTTGTTGTTATGAAAAGTGTTTGTTTTGGCGAGTTTGAACGTTTTTGAGCATGTGTAATGGCATGAATGCGTTAAGCTGTTGTTTTAGTGTTCTTTTGATGAGTTTGGCTTGTTGTTATGAACATTGTTCGTTTTGGCCAGTTTGAAGGTTTTTTAACATGTGTAATGGCATGAATGTGTTGAATTAGTAATCCCTTGTGTTAAGCTGTTGTTTAAGTGTTCTTTTGATGAGTTTGGCTTGTTGTTATGAAAAGTGTTTGTTTTGGCGAGTTTGAACGTTTTTCAGCATGTGTAATGGCATGAATGCGTTAAGCTGTTGTTTTAGTCTTCTTTTGATGAGTTTGGCTTGTTGTTATGAAAAGTGTTTGTTTTGGCGAGTTTGAACGTTTTTGAGCATGTGTAATGGCATGAATGCGTTAAGCTGTTGTTTTAGTGTTCTTTTGATGAGTTTGGCTTGTTGTTATGAACATTGTTCGTTTTGGCCAGTTTGAAGGTTTTTTAGCATGTGTAATGGCATGAATGTGTTAAGCTGTTGTTTTAGTGTTCTTATGATGAGTTTGGCTTGTTGTTATGAACATTGTTCGTTTCTGCCAGTTTGAATGTTTTTGAGCATGTGTAATGGCATGAATGTGTTGAATTAGTAATCCCTTGTGTTAAACTGTTGTTTTAGTGTTCTTTTGATGAGTTTGGCTTGTTGTTATGAAAAGTGTTTGTTTTGGCGAGTTTGAACATTTTTGAGCATGCGTAATGGCATGAATAAGTTAAGATGTTGTTTTAGTGTTCTTTTGATGAGTTTGGCTTCTTGTTATGAAAAGTGTTTGTTTTGGCGAGTTTGAACGTTTTTGAGCATGTGTAATGGCATGAATGCGTAAAGCTGTTGTTTTAGTCTTCTTTTGATGAGTTTGGCTTGTTGTTATGAAAAGTGTTTGTTTTGGCGAGTTTGAACGTTTTTGAGCATGTGTAATGGCATGAATGCGTTAAGCTGTTGTTTAAGTGTTCTTTTGATGAGTTTGGCTTGTTGATATGAACATTGTTCGTTTTGGCCAGTTTGAAGGTTTTTTAGCATGTGTAATGGCATGAATGTGTTGAATTAGTAATCCCTTGTGTTAAACCATTATGTTTTAGTGTTCTTTTGATGAGTTTGGCTTGTTGTTATGAAAAGTGTTTGTTTTGGCGAGTTTGAACGTTTTTGAGCATGTGTAATGGCATGAATGCGTTAAGCTGTTGTTTTAGTGTTCTCTTGATGAGTTTGGCTTGTTGTTATGAAAAGTGTTTGTTTTGGCGAGTTTGAACGTTTTTGAGCATGTGTAATGGCATGAATGCGTTAAGCTGTTGTTTTAGTGTTCTTTTGATGAGTTTGGCTTGTTGTTATGAAAAGTGTTTGTTTTGGCGAGTTTGAACGTTTTTGAGCATGTGTAATGGCATGAATGCGTTAAGCTGTTGTTTTAGTGTTCTTTTGATGAGTTTGGCTTGTTGTTATGAAAAGTGTTTGTTTTGGCGAGTTTGAACGTTTTTGAGCATGTGTAATGGCATGAATGCGTTAAGCTGTTGTTTTAGTGTTCTTTTGATGAGTTTGGCTTTTTGTTATGAACATTGTTCGTTTTGGCCAGTTTGAAGGTTTTTGAGCATGTGTAATGGCATGAATGCGTTAAGCTGTTGTTTTAGTGTTCTTATGATGAGTTTGGCTTGTTGTTATGAACATTGTTCGTTTCTGCCAGTTTGAATGTTTTTGAGCATGTGTAATGGCATGAATGTGTTGAATTAGTAATCCCTTGTGTTAAACTGTTGTTTTAGTGTTCTTTTGATGAGTTTGGCTTGTTGTAATGAAAAGTGTTTGTTTTGGCGAGTTTGAACATTTTTGAGCATGCGTAATGGCATGAATAAGTTAAGATGTTGTTTTAGTGTTCTTTTGATGAGTTTGGCTTCTTGTTATGAAAAGTGTTTGTTTTGGCGAGTTTGAACGTTTTTGAGCATGTGTAATGGCATGAATGCGTAAAGCTGTTGTTTTAGTCTTCTTTTGATGAGTTTGGCTTGTTGTTATGAAAAGTGTTTGTTTTGGCGAGTTTGAACGTTTTTGAGCATGTGTAATGGCATGAATGCGTTAAGCTGTTGTTTAAGTGTTCTTTTGATGAGTTTGGCTTGTTGATATGAACATTGTTCGTTTTGGCCAGTTTGAAGGTTTTTTAGCATGTGTAATGGCATGAATGTGTTGAATTAGTAATCCCTTGTGTTAAACCATTATGTTTTAGTGTTCTTTTGATGAGTTTGGCTTGTTGTTATGAAAAGTGTTTGTTTTGGCGAGTTTGAACGTTTTTGAGCATGTGTAATGGCATGAATGCGTTAAGCTGTTGTTTTAGTGTTCTCTTGATGAGTTTGGCTTGTTGTTATGAAAAGTGTTTGTTTTGGCGAGTTTGAACGTTTTTGAGCATGTGTAATGGCATGAATGCGTTAAGCTGTTGTTTTAGTGTTCTTTTGATGAGTTTGGCTTGTTGTTATGAAAAGTGTTTGTTTTGGCGAGTTTGAACGTTTTTGAGCATGTGTAATGGCATGAATGCGTTAAGCTGTTGTTTTAGTGTTCTTTTGATGAGTTTGGCTTGTTGTTATGAAAAGTGTTTGTTTTGGCGAGTTTGAACGTTTTTGAGCATGTGTAATGGCATGAATGCGTTAAGCTGTTGTTTTAGTGTTCTTTTGATGAGTTTGGCTTGTTGTTATAAGCATTGTTCGTTTTGGCCAGTTTGAAGGTTTTTGAGCATGTGTAATGGCATGAATGTGTTGAATTAGTTAACCCTTGTGTTAAGCTGTTGTTTTAGTCTTCTTTTGATGAGTTTGGCGTGTAATGGCATGAATGCGTTAAGCTGTTGTTTTAGTGTTCTTTTGATGGGTTTGGCTTGTTGTCATGAAAAGTGTTTGTTTTGGCCAGTTTGAAGGTTTTTGAGCATGCCTAATGGCATGAATAAGTTAAGCTGTTGTTTTAGTCTTCTTTTGATGAGTTTGGCTTGTTGTTATGAAAAGTGTTTGTTTTGGCGAGTTTGAACGTTTTTGAGCATGTGTAATGGCATGAATGTGTTGAATTAGTAATCCCTTGTGCGAAACTGTTGTTTTAGTTTTCTTTTGATGAGTTTGGCTTGTTGTTATGAAAAGTGTTTGTTTTGGCGAGTTTGAACGTTTTTGAGCATGTGTAATGGCATGAATGCGTTAAGCTGTTGTTTTACTGTTCTTTTGATGAGTTTGGCTTGTTGTTATGAACATTGTTCGTTTTGGCCAGTTTGAAGGTTTTTTAACATGTGTAATGGCATGAATGTGTTGAATTAGTAATCCCTTGTGTTAAGCTGTTGTTTTAGTGTTCTTTTGATGAGTTTGGCTTGTTGTTATGAAAAGTGTTTGTTTTGGCGAGTTTGAATGTTTTTGAGCATGTGTAATGGCATGAATGCGTTAAGGTGTTGTTTTAGTCTTCTTTTGATGAGTTTGGCTTGTTGTTATGAAAAGTGTTTGTTTTGGCGAGTTTGAACGTTTTTGAGCATGTGTAATGGCATGAATGCGTTAAGCTGTTGTTTTACTGTTATTTTGATGAGTTTGGCTTGTTGTTATGAACATTGTTCGTTTTGGCCAGTTTGAAGGTTTTTTAACATGTGTAATGGCATGAATGTGTTGAATTAGTAATCCCTTGTGTTAAGCTGTTGTTTTAGTGTTCTTTTGATGAGTTTGGCTTGTTGTTATGAAAAGTGTTTGTTTTGGCGAGTTTGAATGTTTTTGAGCATGTGTAATGGCATGAATGCGTTAAGCTGTTGTTTTAGTGTTCTTATGATGAGTTTGGCTTGTTGTTATGAACATTGTTCGTTTTGGCCAGTTTGAAGGTTTTTGAGCATGTGTAATGGCATGAATGTGTTGAATTAGTAATCCCTTGTGTTAAACTGTTGTTTTAGTGTTCTTTTGATGAGTTTGGCTTGTTGTTATGAAAAGTGTTTGTTTTGGCGAGTTTGAACGTTTTTGAGCATGTGCAATGGCATGAATGCGTTAAGCTGTTGTTTTAGTGTTCTTTTGATGAGTTTGGCTTGTTGTTATGAAAAGTGTTTGTTTTGGCGAGTTTGAACGTTTTTGAGCATGTGTAATGGCATGAATGCGTTAAGCTGTTGTTTTAGTGTTCTTTTGATGAGTTTGGCTTGTTGTTATAAGCATTGTTCGTTTTGGCCAGTTTGAAGGTTTTTGAGCATGTGTAATGGCATGAATGTGTTGAATTAGTTAACCCTTGTGTTAAGCTGTTGTTTTAGTCTTCTTTTGATGAGTTTGGCGTGTAATGGCATGAATGCGTTAAGCTGTTGTTTTAGTGTTCTTTTGATGGGTTTGGCTTGTTGTCATGAAAAGTGTTTGTTTTGGCCAGTTTGAAGGTTTTTGAGCATGCCTAATGGCATGAATAAGT